CATCATGTTGACAAGAGCCTTCCATGGCGACTCAGCTCCGTGAGCCTCTCAACCGCGCTGGAGCTTGGGAGTCACCTGATGGACAGTTCCATAACGAGATAGACCACATCATCTTCAATCGAAGGTTTTGCCTGACCGACGTCGCTGTTGTTCCAAAGTTCTACACGGGATCGGACCATCGTCTCCTCCGCGCAAGATTCCACTTCTCGATGCGTAATGAGAGGGCAGTAAAGCGATGAACAGCAGTATAAACTGAAGCAGCAAAGCCCGGTAGGAGCATTCACAATGCCCGCCAAAGCTTTGCAACTCCTAAGACCAAAATGAACATTATCGGAGGGCAAAAAAAACATTCTCGATTTCTAATCGGATCTCTTCGATAGCCATGTTCGGACTACTTATCATCTGGAACAGGATAAATTCATCGTTTCTTCCTTTTTGTTGAAGTTCGACATGTCATCGAGACGGTGAGGAACCGTACGTGACCCGGTCTTGACAGGGTTCAATTGGAACAACAGAAGAATTTACCGCCATTTGGAATCAGAGCTCTGGCTCGACTCTTCACGCGCTACCTGTCGGAATGCAAGGTACCCACTCCGTGGAAAACCAGCAGGACCGTGTTGCTGTACAAGAAGGGAGACCTGGACGACATTGGCAACTATCGCCCAATCTGCCTGCTGTCTGTAATCTACAAGCTATTCACTCGAGTCATCCTAACAGGATCGGCAGAATACTGACGAAGGGCAGCCTCGTGGGCAAACCAAGTCTCAAAAAAAGTTTAGCTCGGTCGTACCACGCGATTACAAGACTCATTCACTTTCACGAGAATACAAGATGTCGCTTTGTCTTGTGTTCATCGAATTGTGAGGGAATACGACTTTGTAAAGACAAAAGGGCTCATTGAAGCTTGGTCAACCGGGGCCTTCCTATTCAGCACATCAGGAGTTGTTTGAGCTTTTACGCATTTTACCACTCTCCTCATTCTACAGGGACAGCATCATCGAGAAGAGAGAGCCTCATTATGACGATACCATCTTTTTCAAACCATTCAGTCTATAGCTGGCCATTAGGTCACCTTGACCTCGCCTTCGTCCGCACCTAAAAAGCATTGGGAAAGGGAGGGAAACTTGCGCTGACCTGCCGTAGAGGGCGAGGTCTAGGCCACATCTCAAGTGGCAACGTATAAGGCGGCACTTTCACGTAATCTCCATGCACTATCCCCTTTCTCTGCAGGGAATGGGGAAAGGGCATGGAGATTGCAGAGACGCAGAGGGTCATGTAGAGGGCGACTAAAATGTACCCCTGAGTACATTTTAGTCGCCGTCTATCTGCTGTCTCTGCAATCTCCATGCACTTTCTCCTTTCTCTGCACGTCATGCATTGGTCGCATTGAGCGTCTCTGCGTCCTGCCATGCCTATTGATTCCGTGTGAGTGTAGAACGAAGGGGGAGTTCGTGGGCATTCTACAATTATTTCAAAGTGAGCCAGAAATGCTTTGTGGTGCACTGGCGAAGCCTTACATCGTTTAAGTCCACGGGCGATATGAGTTTTGCTAGGAATGTAGTTAAGTTCGCCGTTCAGAGCAGGGTCATCTGACTGTCTCGTCTTTCATTATTCGCCGTTAACGGCCGTAGTTGGCCACCTTCAACTCCCAGTCTGTGGCACTTTACTACCGATCGAAGTTGATCGGTGGACAGACTATTTTGCCATGACCGTCAAACGAGAGCGGTCACCGACAGGATCCCTTCAGCGCTAAAACGAACTCAACGAGAGACTTTTTTCTAGATTGAGGGAGTCCAGAGATCGAGGAGGGTTCACTGGACATTTCTAGCTTGGACGAGTGAAGATGCAGCTGGCGCATACTAAAGCAATTCGATGACCAACGGAATAATAGGTTAGGCAGGCGGAACCTTATGCGGAACTGTTTATCGTCGTTTGAAAGAAGTCTGCGATCTCATGCAGAAACTAGGATTTTATGTTACACCGGGAACGCATCGCGATTTCGTGCACAACGAAGCGCGTCACATCTTCAATCTTCGTCTCGTCTTCATCGTCACATCTTTGATAGAGGGCCCTAAAATTTTCGGCTCGACCGCATGCGACGGTTGACCCTATATGGAGGAGTATCTTTGTTATCTTTCCAGTATCTTCACATGGGATAGAGACGATAGGAGAGCTGAATTAAATACGATGGGGTTAGTGCGGTTGCAGTCGTGTTTTACCGAAAGTATTGGGTTGTCCAGAAAATCCTGCGACACTTCGTCCAAGATTTTTGATTGCACCTTCTTTTGTTGAATGAAATATTCAATCAGCAAATTATCACCATACCATATAGGAGGTACACTTTTTCCGGGCAGCTTTTCAACCCCTTACTTTGAGATTCCGGAGACTCATTTAGTTCTACATAAGTTTGAAGGATGCTCAAACTAGACCGCACGGCGACCTCTGTGAGAGCTGTCGATGTCATTGCTAGCTTTACCATGATTCATTGAAATTAAACAGAGCGGTGCTGCTTAAATATTATTATCACTTGTACTGTGTTCGTATTGAGAATTCGAAATCGACATAAATAGTCAGGCCACGGACGCCTGTAAAATAACTTTCTGGTAGGTGCTGCTTGCTATTTTTCAGGTCTCCCAGCTATCCCCCGACTGTAGCACCGACAGCGCCAGCTCTCTCGGGCTGGACGATGATTCTCACGAAGACGAAACTACGGACGAGGAGGACGATAGCGAGTCTGACGACGATGAAGATTATGTTGTGGACGAAGAGTATGTTTCACAATTTTGTGCTTTTTCCCCCCACCCTCCCAAAGTAGCTGGGTAAGCATGCAGCGTGCTCAATGAGAAAAGACCGTGATATTGAATATCTAATTTGCTTCATGTTAGTGCTAACAACTCATTATAAATGTAAGTTACTTTTTTGCTTGGATCACCGTTATCACTACTCTTGGGCGGGTCTATTGGATTGTAGTCCAATGAACTACTACCTTGATCGCAACAGAATCGCAAATATTGTTTCTGTGAAGAGAAGAAGATTGCTACGCTCTAGCGTTCGTCGTCACGCGTTATGAGATGACTAAAATTGTTTGCCTAGCCGACATGCATAATGATGTCGTGGATTTCGAACCTCAAACTTATTTCTTTATTGTAAGTCCCATTCAGTCTTTCTTGATGTAGGGTTACACCAGACATTTGACGCTCATGGGTGCTTGCCTCTTCAGTGAGTGGCTACAAGTTCTCTGTTAAGAATGAAGTTCCACCCCTAGCAAAACAGTAGCAGAAGTACCAAGGAGTCAAACAACTTGACTCAAATTTCATCGTCCCTGTTATTTTTGATCATACTTTTGATTGAGTTATACTTTTTCTTGCCGGCTATTTTAAACCCTTCAGGTCGTTTTTTATGTTGAGCAGTTGGGCAAAGAGTGTGTATCGACTATTTTTCATCTGAGTACACCTTCCTCACGCATTTCCTTTTAATCATGTTGATATATGAATAATATTAATAATAATAATAAGCTCATGTCCCTACTGCATGCAAATCACAAAGCATTCAAAAAATCTTGTTCTCATGTCATCAGTAAACTTTAGATGACTCAAGCATCTTCCATCATCTCAACTCTGAATCTGCGGGATCTCCTTGCCAGACCATTTACATAGTCACCTCTATGTCACGAGAGAGCGGTCAAACACTGTGCACTATGCCACGTTCGGAGTAACATTTATTTACTGTTGTGCTGTATTCAGGAGGGAAGTCATTCACCAGGCCATGTTCTCCTATGAGCCCTAATGCTTCGTAACTAAAAATATTTTGCTGAAGTGAGGCACGGAGCTGGACGGCAGTAGATGATGACTGACGAGCGTTTACTCAACTTCCTAGAGGCGCAGCCGATTGTACCAGTCGTAGGTTAACAACAACGCTTATGTGCATTCATTCGACAATTATCGAGGATCTGCACGATCTCGGTTACAGATCAGTATGTTCGCCATTGACACCACATGGGTTGCGCCAGTCTGGGGAGGCGAACCGTGTGACCATGATTGAGATTTCCCTTCTTTCTTTGCATTAAAGGAATCTCTTACTATTTACTATTTATTGCATGCACAGAATGGAACATGTGAAAAAGAAAGATATCAATACAAACGCTAACACACATTAGTACTTCATATACTAGCAGAATGAATCGATAGAACCTTAAAAAACGAAAGACAAATGAGGTAGAAATACAACAGGTATATGACAACCAACAAAAAATTTGGTTGCAATCAGTTATGATCCCTGAGATACTGGGAAATTTCTCGTCTCTGGTGGAGAGTTTGACAGAGGAACAGATATTTTTGCTGAGTTTAATATACTCTGAGCCGGCTCTATGAGTAAAGAAGTGTCTACCAAGGGAAGTCCTGACTGGAGAAGGGTATAGTTGGTTCGAATCACTCCTTGTTCTAGAAGGTCTAAATGAAAACAACTTGGGCAAGTCAAGATTCAACATTCTGTTTCTTACAACAACACGAGGAATACTATTGTAAGTGTATCCAAGAGCTCTTATAAATACTTTTCTGGTGAAACTGTTTCGAACCCACTCCATGGGCTGAATAAGTTTTTTGTGGGAAAAATATCACTTCCATATTCAAGAAAAGGTCTAACGCATATTTTGAAAGCTTTCAAGAGAATGAATGAATCTTTACTTTTGAGTGAGCTGAGCAAAAGGAAAAGCCTACTTTCGGCTTTGGAAGCAATACTACGGCAGTGAGAATCAAAACATAACTCGTTGTTCACTGCGAAACCAAGATCTTTCATTTCGGAAGCCTCCACAATGGGTGAGTTGAGGTGTAGCATTCGCAGCGAACATTATTTTTACCTAAATGAAACACTTTAGTTTTTTCAATACAAATTGGTAAACCCCAAGCCGCAGACCAATCAAGAACGTTGTCTATAGCTGAATGGCAAGAGAGTCTACTGGGGAGTTTATCGATTTATAGACCTTTATATCATCGGCAAACATCTTACAACTTACTCCATAGCTTTCCACCAAGGAAGATCAAACGCATAAATATTGAACGGTATGGGGGCACAGCACTCCTCCTTGGGGCACTTAACTAGGGGCAAACCTGATGGTGCGTTCTGTCAAAAAATCCTTGATCCAGCGAATGATTAAGGGATGTATTCCAGCTTGCTGTAGTTTTCCTAATAGCTTTACATGACACATTTTATCAAATGCTTTAGAGAAATCAAAGGATCGGCATCGACGCATGCCCTTATATCTCGCGCAGATATCCAATCATTAAGAGTTAGGAGCATTTGCGTAACAGTGGAGCGCCATTTTCTAACCGTGTTGACTTTAGGGCAGAATTTGATTTCGATTAAGATTATCAACAATAGCATCTTTAATCGTTTTTTCAAATAAGCGACAAAAGACGGAAGTTATACCTATGGGTCTATAGTTACCCGGGTAATTAAAGGGAGCCTTTTTAGGAAGAGGCAACACAAATGCATTTTTCCATTTGAAAGGCACTTCAGCATAATGCAGACTTCTGTTAAATAGAAATTCCAAAGGAAAAGCAATGTAAGGTGCTACTTTCTTCATAAAAGAAGGAGGAATGTCATCAGGCGTATGGGAAACACTTGACAGCCACTTGAGTATTTGATTGAGAATAACGCTAGAGAAACATACTGGGTCCTTCATGATTTCAAAAGACTGTAGAATGGATGCGTCGGACTACAGTGCGTTTCATAAGTATAGACGCACCCTCAAAAAAGCTGTCATCAAAGTTTAACGATATCCGTGACAAAAAGGGTTGTTAATATCGTAATCAGCGTGCCGGAAAACCTTTGTGAGACAGGTTTTATTTGAATCGGAGAAAAATTGGGTATTTTTCAACGGTTTGTTACCAAATGGACCGTTTCATAAGTATAGACGCACTTTAGAAATCGCCATGAAACTGAACACTTGGCCTGCGAAAGTTAACGTTCAAGGAAGCAGTAATTAGCCATAAGTACTACGCATCATATCGTTAAATAGCAGGGGCTCACAGCTTCCAGTTGCCGAGCAGGCTCAGGATCGCGCCCTGCACACGGTATGTCTGAGCAATCGCATAATTGCTCCCCAATTGTGTTGCTCCTCAAGGGTCGTCGATCAACTCGTAAGTGACACGGAATCCTACGGTCGCAAAAAGGGATCAGGTAGACCAAGGAAGCTGCCTCCGCAAGCAGAACGTCAGATTGAACGATTGGTCTTGAACTCTCGACTCAGCCTCAATGAAGTCCGAGCGAACCTAGCGGCACCTGCCTCCAAAACGGCGGTGTGGAGGGCGTTCAGTGGCAACAGCAACGTCGTGCGAAGTCGTCTCCGTCCAGCTCCCCGTCTCACCGCGTCTCGCAAAGAGGCACGGCTCCAATTTGCTAAGAGGAGTATGGCAGCAAACTGGCCCAATTTACACCCCTTTCTTATAAAGCTTCCCATTCGAAACTTCTTGCTCAACTGATATTCTCCGACGAGAAGAAGCTCAACCTGAACGGTTTAGACGGGTATACATTTTAATGGAGAGATCTGTGCAAGGTGTCGAAGTTTTCCAATAAGCGTGATTTCGATGGATGATGCGTCACAATTTGGAATGTATTTCACCGATGTGGGACGCAAGAAATCGCTTTCACTCCCACCCACATGGACTCCACGGAAAACAAAGACGTGCTCAGTCCTCACTCGCTACCTTTTTTGGCAGGGTATGGCGAGGGAGAATTTGTTTTTTAGCAGGACAACGCTGTGATCCAAATGAGGCGGTCTACTTGGTCGTGGCTAGAGGAGCGAAATGCAACTACTGTGGACTGGCCTGCTTGTTCACCCAATGTCAATCTCATTAAAAACATCTGAGGCCTCCTGGGTTGCAATATTAAACACAGAGGGACTTTTGTTAAGGTGACCGACCTCAGAGGTGGTATAGTCAGGAATGGAATCGTCTGGTCGTATAACTGCTCAGCGGATGGTTAAATCTACTCTTTCTTCTATCTTACGAAGTACTAAGAAACAATTAATTACTGAGGAGTTTTTATTGTTTTGGTTTCATAATAAAAGTATTGTGTCTTAAAGGTGCGTCTATACTTATGAAACGTTGGGCAACAGGTACACGATGCCTAGATATTATACTCGAATATAATTTTCCATTAGTACGAAGTACGTGATCTATGTTAACTGAGCCTATTTTCTCGATGTACTACAGTTGCATTTATATGTTTACCCTATGGATACCGTTTGATAACTATTCGTGTAAGATTTGGGGTGCGGTCTATTATTTGAAAGCACTTATATGACTACAGGACTCGTGACATGGTGGCACTGTAGTTCAAGCGCAACCTACCATTTCCCCTTGTTTATGTCGAATTCACTGGTCGACCGCCTTCTGGAAACCTAGACGTGTTAGTCGGGAGAGCACTGAGCCACGGACTGGCGAGATAATCGTGAAGAGGAGGATATAAGAGCGTATTATGGTCTACGCGCCAGTACATGGCGAACCTCGCGTGACTAGTGACGCCCTAGTGCGGACTGACGCCTTAGGTGTTGGTTTGAGTTATGATTTTCGTCACGAAGTCTGTATGCGCGAAGCCGTCAGCCGAAGCACCGTATTGCCATATTTCGAACACGCGCCAGTCGCGCCAAACCCATGCCAAAGTCGCTCTGGATCAAATTTCTCTAAGGTACCACTAGCTTAATAATTATTTATAGATGAAACGGCAATTATTCATAGGGGAACAGGTGATCAGGGTCGACCTTGCAGTGAGGGTATGTACACCTCATGCATTTATCTTGAGACGAGGTCTGGAAGATACTTGCTTTCCGTATGAGCTTAACACGTTCCGGTAGGAGTTACAAAGTTGCTCATCTACACGAATGTTGCAAAGTTGCCAAACTTGCAAAGAATGTGCCTGCAAACATTTATGGAGTCAATTAAATGGCAAATGTTGGTAAATTGATGGAGTTGGAAGGTTTTCGGTCGAACCGCCAAAAAAAAACAGCAAAAAATAGACTCTCTGAGGACCATTCCCAAGACGTCTTGCCTGCGAGACCGGGGCACTACCGCTGGGTTTCCTCGCTCTATAAGTTCGTTCAAAGAATCAGGCTCTATACAAGTGGGTGGGCACGCCCAGCTTTTCACGCATGTCAAGTGACTGCCCTCACCCCACCCCCCCCCTAGATTGGCTACACTCCCCCTGGCTCACGAATTCCCCGATTCTCGTGACAGTATAGTAGCGGGCAGCAGTCCCACTTACATACATTTCTGTTCAAAAAATGCGGCGTGCCCACCCTACTTGTATAGCACCAAGAATCGTTTAGCAGGCAGGGGAGACAGTTTCGAGCTCAGCGCCTTGAGGTGAGTGCAAGGGTATACAGTTCTTTGCAAATGGCCGATAGACCTGATGGCTTTCCCTGATCGGAAAGAACTCATCTTAGAGTGTACTCCGACATTTATGCTCTTAATAGCCGAGCATGGGCACGGCTCAGCAGGATTCGCCGAGGTGCTTATCTCGTATTGCGTCCGTGGTGTCGTTCTTATCGAAGTTTATTAAGCAGTTTCTTGATCGTTGTATCTGCTAGGGTTTTTGATCTCTTGGGAGCAAATCTGCCGTGTGCCAAAAATGAAGGACAAATTGACTTTATGGTCATTTTTGGCTTTTTTGTCGCCCACTGTCATCACTGTATTCCCCTTATTAAAGAAATCTCACAAGAATGAAACTGTATTGAGAATTCTAGCAATAGATCCCATGTATTACATATACGTGGACGGATGTTATTATTTCTATGCTGTGTCTAACGCTAAGTAACTACCGGATGATGTTCCGATCACATTTCCGCCATTTCGCATCCCAGCTCACCTTCTCGCGCGCTGACGCACTCGCTCTCAGCCCTTCATTCGATAATTTAATTCAATTCAATTTATTCTGAAGAATTTTTGCAGGATTGCAGAAACTTGGAACTCTGTTACACCCTCTTTCTGTGCATGCCATACTATGTATATTTCAACCCTACCAAGTTACAGCAGTGTCAGGATGTCTCGGTAATTCCAATCGTCGCATCGACCCTTCTTGTCCCACCGTGTTCTCATCGTGGCGCTATTTATTTATTTAAACATTACTTTTTTATTAAAGGTAAAGGATAAAGCATTTGCCGTTGAATCCCTTTTTGGGATGCGGCACGCATTCTACTTCCATTTGTACATTCGTAGTGGCGTTTGAATGCGATGTGGCCTATACAATGACTTGCGGGGGCCAGCCGATGTACAAGTCAGTGTTTTTATCCTCCCAGACAAGTCTGGTACCAATTAACCGACCCCGGAGGGATGGAAGGCTTGGTTGGCCCGGGCGACTCACGACCCAGGATTTGATCCCCGGACCGCTCGCGTGCCACTTGCCACTACACCACTTCCACCCTATTTTATTAGACAGCACAATAACGACAGAGAAGCTCCAAGCGATTAGCGTCAGGAATTGACAAAAAAATAGATGGCCGTTCCTGACACTGTATATTGTGGGTTCGTTTGGGGGCGTTTGTCATTGTTCTGTAGCACAGTTTCCAGAGTGCCCAGATAGACGGCTAAAGCAAGCAACCACAGCTATGCAATTTCCAACTTTTAGTCCAAAGGTTAACGAAGGAGTAAGTTTCTGCGTAGTATTGTTAGGCAGTAATGCTCATTCTCATAATTTACTCATGTAAAAACATTGGGATGCCTCGTCAAGTACGTGTAGCAGGTCAACCTTCCCCTCGCACTATTCAAACAAGGGGGTGTTTGCGATTTGGGAGGAGGGGTCGCATTTTGGGGTTGAGAAGGAGAAAGCAACTAATTTTGGAAAATGCGTGAGTGGGGGATGTGAAAAGAGGTGACAAGTCTGGCAGAAGTTCCAGGAAAGTAGAGTAAACTAGACAAATTTGGTGGATTTGCCGCTTCACGACACTAACACCCCCCTTGCTGACGGTTGGTTGCAAGGAAAAGTGGGCAGGGTTGGGCTATCGACTGGTATCAGAAGAACCAATAAAATAAAAGCCTCAAAAGATTGGTGGTGGTGATGGTGGGGTCGCATCGGACCTCCATAAATAGGGAGGGGGGGTCGCAAAAATTTCGGACAAGTACGAACGCGACGGTTGATTCTGGTTGCGCCATCAACCTGTTCGATGTGTTCCAATGTGACTCGCAGTGTTCCGGAAGCTTCTACCTACTACGCTCCAATACTGACAGGGTAGGATCTGGGGCCATCTACTGGGCC